GCACGTGTTGCATCAAAGCAAAGGCCACCCGAACCTCTCTTCCACAGACCAGTCAGAGTAAAACCATTAAACCCATGGAACTGATACACAGTGATGTGTGCGGACCAATGAAAACCATCACACCTGGCGGGAACAGATATTTACTGACTTTCATCGACGAATGTTCCAGGTACACAATAACGTATCTAATGAAGCACAAAAGTGAGACATTAGAAAAACTTCAAGAGTTTGTAGCTATGACAAGCAACAAGTTTCAAAGGAAACCTGGAATAATATGCACTGACAATGGAGGGGAATATATGAATAAAGAGATGGAATCATACCTAAAGAAACAAGGTATTATACACCAAACAACTGTACTATACACTCCTGAGCAAAACGGCGTAGCAGAAAGAAAGAATCGCACTCTTGTAGAAATGATCAGATGTATGATTTCGGACTCTGCCTTACCTAACAAATACTGGGGAGAAGCAATAATGACTGAACATACCTACAAAACAGGCTCCCATCAAAAGCTATTGAGAGTACACCATATGAAATGTGGAATGGATCAAAACCTAACATAGGACACAACAGAGTGTTTGGCTGTAAAGCATATGCTCACATTCCAAGTCAGAAACGCTCCAAGTTGGAGAACAAAGCCATAGAAGGCATTCTGGTGGGCTACAGTGAGCAGAGTAAGGGATATAGAATCCTTTGTCCAAAGACCAACAAGGTCACAGTAAGCCGCAGTGTTTATTTTGATGAAAGTGAAGCACCAGATAATACAATTCTTGAAAAATGTGGAGAGAATTTACGCGCTGAATCGGCAAGAGACACTGACCCATGCGAAGCAGGACAAGAGCCAGAACAAGAAGTGGAACCTACAATCAACGAGCCAATAGAACCCACTGAACAACAAGAAATCAGAAGATCCTCTCGAATGACAAAAGGGATACCACCCCGCAGGTTATCATACGCTGCTAAAACACATCAAACACAGGAGCCAACATCCTGGGAAGACATAGAAACTTTGCCGAGAAGGGAAGCCGATCAGTGGAGAAAAGCAGCTGAAGAAGAAATAAAATCACTTCAAGAAAATAAAACTTGGTCACTAACAGAACTCCCTCCTGGTTGCAAAACCATCGGAAGCAGATGGACTTTTAAAGTGAAATATGATACAGAAGGAAACATCTATAGATACAAAGCAAGATTAGTTGCCAAGGGATACTCCCAGAAATTTGGAGAAGATTATGATGAGACATTTGCTCCAGTTGTAAAACATTCCACCATAAGGACACTCCTTAGTATTACTGCCGGAAAGGGAATGCAAGTAAAGCACCTAGACATCAAAACTGCCTTTTTGTATGGAGACATCAAGGAGGATCTGTACATGGAACAGCCACCAGGATTTGAGAAAGAAAGGAACCTTGTATGCAAACTGCAAAAGAGCATCTATGGGCTCAAGCAAGCGGCCAGAGCATGGAATGAAAAAGTGAACGAAATACTCAGAAAGGAAGGGTTCTCAAAAAGTAAAGCAGATCCATGTCTGTATTCAAAGAATCAAGAGAACAAATGGACATACATCCTAATATACGTCGATGACATCTTGACGTGTTTTGAACAAGAAGGGGACTCTGACCAAATAGTTCACAAACTGAAACAAAATTTTGAAATTAAAGAGTTGGGGAACATTACTCAATACTAGGAATTCAAATAGAGTGGGAAGAGAATGGAAGTTATCTTCTTAACCAAAGTCAGAAAATTACAGAAATGTTAGAACAGTTTCACATGCAAGATGCAAAGGAAGCGAAAACACCAATGGAACGAGATTATCCAAAAAACAATGGAACAGAAAACTTGTTACCTAACGATGATTATTACCACAGGGCAATCGGACAATTGCTATACATTGCCACCGTGACAAGACCAGACATCGCCGTAGCAGTGGGAATACTTTGCAGGAAAGTCGCAACACCGTGTCAACGTGACTGGAATGCAGTAAAGAGGGTAATGCAGTACCTAAAGGGAACAAATCGGATGAAGCTGCAACTTCCAGCATCTTCAAACCCAAAACTGATTGGATATGTGGACGCCGATTGGGCTGGAGACACCACTGACTGCAAATCTACAAGTGGTTACATCTTCCAGTATGGACAAGGAACCATAAGCTGGTCTAGTCGGAAACAAGTGACTGTTGCACTTTCTTCAACTGAAGCGGAATACATAGCAGCAGCACATGCATGTCAAGAAGCCATTTGGATTTGTCAACTTCTACTAGACATGGGACTGAATATGTCACAACCCACACCCATCTTTGAAGACAATCAGGGATGCATAAAGCTTACACACTCTGAGAAGATTAACCCAAGAACCAAGCACATTGATGTAAGATATCATCTGCTCAGAGACATGCAAGAACAAGGGGTTATCGACATCCAGTACTGCCCATCAGAGGAGATGACTGCAGATGCACTCACCAAGGGAACGTCATTGTTTTCTACAAAAGAGACTAAATGTCATATAATTATGCACATGCCGTTGAGAAGGGGTGTTGGGGATGCAACAGCATGTACTATATAGAGTATTGTGTGTTAATATCACTTGACCAGTAGATGGCACTGTACACTAAGGTTACCAGTTGTGCATACCTGTAAAACTTGTTGGTTCTTCTTTTTCTTTTCTCTCTCTCTCTTTATAACCAAGATGTCTGCTGTTACAGTTTGCTGAAATGTTTTGTATGTTTGCAACTTAGGCCACACAAGTAAACAAAGTTCTGCCTCATCACAAGCTACTAGTGTCTTCTCTAACAAATAACCAACATCATTTTCAAAAACAAAAAAAGGATTCCTGCACATATTGTATCAATATACAGAACAGCAGCACACAAAAAACATCCAAATACAAGACCAATAGAAATCTAAAACAAAAAAATCGGTAGGTCTTGGGAATCAAGAGAGAAAGCTCCAAGTCTCCATCCTGGTACCCTTTTTTTTGCAGAAATCTTTGTTTCAATATATTAGCCTGTGTAAGAAAGTCCTCCTTAATGGAGCAGTTCCTCCTAATCCACAAGAATTGACACCTAGTGATGCGAACATCTAATATTTTTATTGTTGTTATTTACTAACAAGATTTTGGGGGTTGCTTTTTTTAAAATAGTTTTTTTGCTCTTTTGAGGGATGTTTTTAGTGTTTTGCTTTGATGCATATTTGAGGAGCGAAGAGCCATCTCTATCCTACTTGCTATATGATGTATCTTAGATGTTGCCAGCCAACCTTCTTTCCCTGACAATGTCTGCTTACTGAGCCAATGCGTTGCGTGGGGCCTAGTATGTGACATCATCGCATCCTCCAAAGGATAGATTTCGACTCTTCTGAATCGATGTCTTGTAATGAGAGTGCATTTTTGTTACTAAATCCCATTGCCTCATACGGTTGTACACTATGGATATTGCACTGTGTTTCTTTCGTACCTTGTGGGGTTGTTGGCTGTTAGTGGCTGAGCAGAAGAGTCTTTGAAGGGCTACATCTCTTAAAACCACTATTTGATCTCTTACCACCTAGAGATCCCTTGCAGTTGGAAAGAGGTTTAAGTTCTTTGAAGCCAGTACGTGTGTGGATTGTGCCAATTCACTGTCTGTCTTACAGAAGTAGTTTGGCTTTATCTGAGAACTTTTTTCATATGTTAAATAGAACTTCCACCTTATATTTTTTGAGTCATATATTATTCTGATCACATTAATTGAGCAATGATTTATTACTCTATGTTAACTTATTTTGACACAGTGTATTGTTATTTGTTGTATTAGGGTTTTTTATGCTTAAAGGGAGAGAGCACCAATTTTTTTTGTTTTAGATAATTTTCATGTGCTTTCTGTCTCTGTTTATTATTATCTGTTAGTATTGGTCCTAGATCTCACTGTGGACTACAGAACACCTTCCCATATTATGGAGCTGAGGAAATGGGGGGGGGGAGTCTGTAGTCCTAAAAAATACTTTCTATGTGTGACAATACTGCTCCTCCATAGATACATTTCCCCAGCAGAATATGCCTAAAGTAGTAGAGTTTACCCATAACAACCTGATAAAAAATAGTGTTCTTTAGCAAGAAACACACATTCCACATTTATAATTATGCCAACAAAATTAGTGTGTGCTGCAAATGGCCTTCAGCATTGCTCCTGTTTCTTCTTGCCAGAGACTGCCATTTTTCTGAAGCCCAGAACCCCTGAGCAGCAGTAAAATCTTTAAGCTGTCAGCAGATTGACCTCTAGCAGCTCTGATTTTCAGCACAGTGCCAAAAAACAGAGAGCAACTGAGCATTTGCAGAGCAGGGTGAGGCAGGGTATTACTAGATTTTAAACAGTATAAGCACTTATTTTAATGTTTTACATAGCTATACCTGCAAAAAGGGCCAGCATGAAGTCATTAAGCAGGACTTAATTTTCTGACTAAATTTCCACTTTAAATTTCTCTCGACATAGTCTGTGGGGACTGTTGTTTCACCTCACTGTAACACATAACCAATCAATCATGTTTCACCAGCATAATGATTTATATTAATGGATGCTGCTCTGTGATAGATTGCTTAGACCAGGGGTGTCAAACTGGCGGCCCTCCCGCTGTTGTGAAACCACAAGTCCCATCATGCCTCTGCCTTTCCGAGTCATGTTTGTAACTGTCAATCTTGCAATGCCTCATGGGACAACAGCTGGAGGGCTGCCAGTTTGACACCCGTGGCTTAGACATATTGCACATCATTGTCCTTTGCACATTGTTCTTTAACCACTTGCCGACCGGCCGTTGTATATAAACGGCCGGACGGTGGCACTGCAGGGTCGGGTGGCCGTCAATAAACGGCCTCCCCGCACCCTGCTTGTGCGCGCTCCCTGGGAGCGCGCAGCACCGCGATCCGGTGCCCGCTGTGTCCTCCGGACACAGTGAAACACCGATCGTCGGACGGGACCTCTGTACGACGTAGGTCCCGATCATGTGATCACTGATTGGCCAATCAGTGATCACATGCAAAGTAGTAAGCAAGATGTCACTTGTGACATCATTGCTTACTACGTGTGAAATCTGTGAATGATCACAGAGGTCACATCGTACAAGGCTATTCACAAAAGCCTTGTACATGTGACAGGATGTGACCAATCACAGCTCACTCAGTTCTTCTCAATGAGTGCATGAATGCACACAGAGAGAAAGAGAAATGATTGCTTTTACATCCTATATGGGTGTAAAAGCAATCAGTGTAAAAAAAAAAAAAAAAAAAATCTTCATCACCCCTCACAAGTAGTACAGTGTCACCATGGTGACACTGTACTGCTAGGGTGACAGTATGTAAAAAAAAAATAAAAATAAAAAATAATAATATAAAAAAATAAAATAAAAATGTAAAAAAAAATGTTTAAAAATTATAATTTTTGCTTATAAACTAATTTTGGATTTTTTTTTTTTTTACTAAAAAGATAACGGAATAAATTTTGGCTAAGATTTATGATGAAATATTATTTATTTGCAAAATTTTATAAAAAAAACACTTTTTTTCAAAATTTTTGGACATTTCATTTACATAGCAAAAAAAATACAAATCCCAGTGGTGAATAAATACCACCAAAATAAAGCTTTATCTATCTCAAAAAAATGGTAAAAAATTCATTTGGGTACAGTGTTGCATGACCGCGCAATTGTCATTCAAAGTGTGATAGCGCTAAAAGCTGAAAATTGCCCTGGTCAGGAAGGGGGTAAAAGTGTCCGGTCTGGAAGTGGTTAAGGCTTCTTTCACACAGACTCTCCAATTAGGTCCACTTGTCAGTTTTCTTATGAACCTGATTAGAAGCTTCATGCAGGTCTATGGGCAGGCAGATGCAAATGGACTTGTGTCCATGTCCATCCAAGTCAAGAATAAAAAATAAAAAAAAACAGAAAAGGATTGTATCCATTTCCACATTTGTGGACCTAAATTTGATGAATCAGAGTTAGTCTGATGTGAGCGGACACAAGTACAGTTACATTTGGAGTCTATAGATCCAACAGGGGACTACCAGAGTCTGCTGTCAAAATGCAGATTAAAAACTCAACAGCACAGATGTGACAACACTGACAACAGTCCCATTTAGCTCTGATCTGCTCTTCAGATCCCTAGTTGAATGCAGTGGTGTGGCATTAGGTGAAAGGACTTTACAGTTGGCCATAGATGGATCGAAAGTCCCTGCTGAACCTGCCGAATTTTAATCCATGTGTAGCTATTTCTGTTCAACAAAACGTTTCCAACACTCCTGATCGACTTCTGTAAATCAGCAGTGCATCCAATTGGCTTCAGCCACTGATCAGTGTATTCTGACAGTGAAAAGTCCTACTGTAAGGTCTCAGCAGGGGAGGATTCCTCAATTCACTTTGCTTGGTGTGGGTGTGGATTGAGAAACCTGTTTTTGTTTTTTTCACTCAACCCACTGGCTGAATGAAGAAAAAAAAAAACTATGGCCAGCTTAAAGCCTAGTACACACTATTATTTTTTTTTATTCAACCCAGTGAGATGAACAAAAAAAACTGACAGCTAAGGAGGAGCCACTGTACTAACTTTCCAATGTTAGAACAGCGATCTTCCCTGCTGTGCTATTCTGTTCTGACAGGAGGGACGGCCCCCCCGCCAGAACACTTTGGTCAGAGATCTCAGCCATTGGCTGGTAATGTTGGCTGGTTTCAATTGTGTGTATGGCCCGTGTGTACTAGGTCTAAGGCTCATGATCTGTTCAGTGCCTTTCAGTGAGATCAAATATCTTACAGATTTTCTAACGCTGGGGATATACTAGTAGTAGATATTTGTTCACCACTAATGATTTTCTAATCATTAGTGGTGTCAATTCAACATATGTTTTTGACCACAGTGACAAGAAAATTCTAAAGAGCAGGATGGAATATTTCTCTCACTTGAACTAAATTCTAAGTTTAGGTTCACACCCATGCATTTTCCACAGCATTTTGCAGAAAAGCACAGCAGTCCATTTAACATGATTTCCTATGGGACAGGTTCACATCTCCCGTTTTCACCTGATGCATTTTTTGGAAAGGCTCAGGGACTTTTTTAAATGCAAAACATTGTGTTTTTGGTTCTATAGACTTGAATGGAGATGCTGTGTTTTTGTTGCGTTTTTTTATGCATTTTTTCTACATTTTGCTTTATATTCTGCCCAGCAACAAGTTGAAAAAAATACACAAAACGCCTCAAAAACACGTCAAAAACTCCTGTGCAAAAAAGCAAAACGCACTGCAAAAAGCACTGCGGAAACAGATCAAACGCAAACTGCATAAGTGTGAACCAGGGTATGTGGTTTTCATTCCTGTAAAGTTAATTTATTCCAAAATCGAATGTTAAAGGCAAACTAATTTTGAACTATGTTTGAGTGACATTCATCAATTGTACTGAGTATATTTGTATGAATATTAGTGTGAGCCCGGGTTCACACAGATAGGGTGCAGCACATCACATGTGATTCTCACAGGAATTGCACCACATTCGTGTGCAAATCACACGCGATTTCTGTGCGGTGCAATTTGAGCCATTCATTTGGTATGGATCAGATTGCACTGCATCCGCACCAAAATAGCGCAGGACTCTTTTTTTAGTCCGCACCAGAATCAGATCGCATGGGTATTCACACACATGCAATCTGATTCTGCACCTCACACCACGTTTTGCAAACTGATTTCGGGGTGTTGTTAATGTAACATACACACCCGCAGCAGTTCGCATGAATGGGGTGCGATCATGATGCGGTGCGGAAATCGCATAGACACTGGTGCGAACTCCGCACCGCATCAGTGTGAACCCGGGCTGAACGTCCCTTCAAAAACTTGCTAATTTATACCCAGCTTAAGGCTGGCCATACATTATACAAATTTCTTGAGAATTTTGCTTTAGATTTACCAAAAACCATATAATATGAGGTCAAACCTAAACAGCACTTTCAATTGTGTCCAATTTGGCAGGGCCTTGCACTACATAGTTGAAGGTAAATCTAAAGGTAATTGAGCAGAAATTGGACTGACAGTTGTATAGTGTATGGCCAGCCTAAGTTTAGTTGTCATCAAGTGGTCACATGCAAAGTTCAGGTCAAACACATCCCATGTAATAGAACACATACTCATCTTTTAGCCTAAATTAACAAACATCCAAATTGCCAGCAATTTTACCTTCATGTTTCAGCACCTCCCACTGGTCACTGTCCTTAAGAAACCTGCTGAGGCTCATAAGAAACAGTGTTGTAATTTGTAGACCATTAAATACTAATTAACAATGCTCAATGCATTGACAATAATTAACTTGTCAATCACTGCAAAAAGGATTGTCACAGTTGTCACTTTTTTCATTAGATCGGCTTTCCATATCAGATTAATGCATTTGTGACCTTGCCCAAAGGCACAATTGCAACGTATCATTATCCTGAAAAAATGTTTGTAAATTTATGGGTGTTTTATTTATTTGAATTTGTTTTATTCTTTGTTATAAACAACCATAACATCAAAACAGTACAAACCAACTCCACAAAGTGCTCATCAATTTAGAGATATACAGAAATAAGTAAAGACAACCATAGCAATTCACTCATTCATTGAAAAATATATAGCCCTTGTAAAATCACCAAAAACCCTCACATTTTCACTTGTACTAGTGACATAGAAAATAATTTTTGACCAAGAATGTTATTTTTATTTTGGGCACTTAAAGCTGAACCCCTATACCTCCTAGATCTTGTTCTTTCTGAACAGTATAGCCACTTGCTGACTCAGCAGTTTCCATAAACAGCTTAACTCTCAATAAGACACAGAAGTTAAAAATGTAGTTTTACAAATTACATTACAGGGGATGTTTTTTCCAGTCTTTTAAAGTGTAAGAAGACCATAATCGGAAATTACAAAGTGCCTCCACATAACAAATGTTGGTGCACATGACAGATTCATGTACCTGTTGAAGAGAGGCACATGAACCTGGGGCATGCACAGAGTGTGGAGGCACATTGAGACTGGAGTGTCCATACAGACACTCTGTCCTCAGTCTAACTGTGCTTCCTTCCCACTGCTGCACCTGACTGACTGAACAGTTCACTTTAACCCCCTCCTACTCACCATCTACTGTATATATCCTATTATTATTCCCTAGCATATTCTCCCTCTTGAGAGCTACCATCTGACACTTATTCCAAAGTAGTTACTGATCTGTGCCAGCTATGACAAGCTGATTTAACCATTAAGAAGAACTGGTTCTTATTTATTTATTTATTTCAGGTACTTATATAGCACCGTCAATTTACGCAGCACTTTACATATGTATTGTACATTCACATCAGTCCCTAACCCTCAAGGGGCGTACAATCTAAGATCCCTAACTCACATTCATACATACACATACTAGGGCCAATTTAGACAGGATCCAATTCACCAACCAGCATGTCTTTGGAGTGTGGGAGGAAACCGGAGTACCTGGAGGAAACCCACGCAGGCACAGGGAGAACATGCAAACTCCAGGAAGGTGGTGCCGTGGTTGGGATATGAACCAGCAACCGTAGTACTGCCAGGCGGAAGTGCTAACCATTGGTTCTTAATGATAAAAGGTAGAGCTTTTTTGAAAAAAGATCTCTTCAGTCTCTCAGAAGTGCTGCGTTATATATGTGCTGGATTAGATTCTTCTGCAATTGCTAAAGCCATAGGATCTATACTGAGGATTTGGACCACAACTGTGCTTTCCATCAATGTAATTTCACTCAGCCCGGGCTGCACCCATCGCACCATATTGATAATTTTTATCCTTGAGCATCAAAATACTGTATACTGTTACTGCACATAGCCTTGGATCCAGAGCACTTCTGCTGACGCTCAGACCAGACTACCATTAAAATGCTCAAGGATAAAAATTGTCAATATGGTGCCATGGGTGCAGTTTGAGCAGATACAAATTACATTGATGGAAAGCACAGTTGTGGTCCAAATCCTCAGTATAGATCCTATGGCTTTAGCAATCGCAGAAGAATCCAATCCAGCACATATATAACGCAGCACTTTTGAGAGACTGGAGAGATCCCTAAGCAGCAGACAAAAGAGCAAAGTACACAGACTAAGTGCAGCGGGTGTGTATGTGTAACATTTACCTATTAAGGGAAGGCAATTAGCAACTCACATAAAGTAAGACAAATTATACTTATCATGGTTCTCAAAAGGGCTC